CAGGGTTGATTGTAATTAAAATCCTTGTCAGAATTATGTGTTTGGTATCAATAACAGATTCGCTACAAAATCAATCAATGTATTTCGGAAATAATTATAATTGAACGGTGAATATGTATTCGCCAAAGATTTATGTTCAATTTTGGCTCTTTCTTATGGAGAGAGTATTTTATTTTTGAATTTTGCTTTGCCATGTGATGAAAAGTAATAACTTCTGGCGAAGCTGATTCTTCAGATAGACAAAATAGGTACTTTGCATTCCATTCATCAGTATATAACAGGGGCCAGTCTGTTCAAATGTTTTAGGATAGTGTCATTCACATCGCATAGTAACGACTCCTTAGTACTTTATATGTACTCCATATAGACCTGCAAATCATGACATGAATATATGACAAAGAAACCCCGAAATTGAAAAAAATATATCATGAAACTTTACCATCCCCCCGACATCCCCCAAAAATTCGTCAAGTTATCGATATAATATTGTTTTGAGAACCTGTAAGATTATCGTTATCGATAATGAGGTCACTACTATGAAGATATTGAGTTGAAACATTCCAGAAAATACTTACAGGCAGGTTTTCGGCACCTAGAGCTCTAGCCTATATTGAGCTATCTGAAATCTATTGATATCAGACTAACAGCTAGAGGATCCTGAAGAACGGTTAGGCGAAGTCAAGCCTATTTAGCATTCAACAGTTGAGAAATGATTTGTTTTTTCAGATTTTTCACGAACTCATGGCAAAGTTACCTGGAGTAGCAAAGTAACCCCGTTTTACGGTATTATAGGTATTAGTCGGGGCTCGTTTTGCGAAAAGTCAAATTCTAGAAGCATTTCATGTAACAATTGGATAAATGACGTTAACCCCCTATTTCGACCCCGCTGAATCCGAAAATACCGTTTATCAAGTCGAAATTCCAACCGGAAGTGAGATATTCAAGATGGCGTCCGAAATACCCCTAAAATCTAATTATTTTCTACCTTCGGTCAGCTATACGATTGAGGTGTCGATGTCTATGTTTTCGGGGGTGTAAAATACGATGAGACACTCAAAAAATGATTTGGAGCATTGAAAGTTCATCGAATGATCAAATTTTGACGAAATAGACCAAAATTCCAAAGAACTTGTGAAAACGTGTTGCATAATGTATATGCTTGCATACGCTTTCGAGGGTGCTCAATAAGTTTATGAGCCAAAAAAGCATTTGAACATTGTCCAAGCCTTCATTTCTTATATTTTGAGAGAGCCCCTTGCAGCCACGAGTTCCAAATTCGAAAAATGAATTGGGAATAGGTGGCAAAGTCATCAGGATTGGGACATATCGTCCATCAACAATTTTCCAGCCGTAATTATTCGGGTCTTATAAATCAGGATACTGATCATGGGCCTTAACCCACACTAGTATCTGAACATAACATTAACATCCTCCGATTTGTTCAATTTTCTTTTACCTGGAAGTAGCACCGGAGAATGTGTTGACGGAGGGCATCAGTGGTAGATGGCGAAAAGCATTCGCACTGTCCAAAAAATTGCAACATGGGCTGCGTCTGCCGTTGTAATGTCCGGTCCAACTCGAAATAAAAATGGTAGTAGTATCGAAACGGCTAATAGTTCTTATTCACCATGTGTCTCAGAAAAGGGACGCAACAGACCTTGTATAAAGCTTGCACCACAAACTGTTCAACCAAACGGAGATCATCGGGGGCTAGATCGGGAGTTTTTACAAGCTGACTGAGGAGTTTACAGTAGTTTTCTTCTATGTACTTGCTTCCACCGTTCTGTTTTTGTGACTGACGCTAACTTGAATGTAGTATCACATCCAGTGATTGCGTGAAAAGCCATCAGGTTTTTTATCTGTTGTGGTGCAAGTTTCTCACATAGTTCGTGAATTGGAATATACCCCATGCGTAAAAACCGAAAGAGAGGCTGTTGTTGTTTCTGTTAAAGACACTAGTGTGATTTCATTATTCATCTATCACTTTGAAAGAATGAAATGCAAGGAATGCTGGGTGATGTGTGGTACTTCCCGAGATAGAAAGTATATTCCAATTCATGAACTACGTAGAAAGCTCACATCACAACAGATCAAAAACCTGATGGATTTCCACGCAATCACCGAATGTGATACTAAATCTTGATGAGGGTCTGCCACAAAAACAGGACGGTGGAAGCAGTAGATTGAAGAAAACTACTGTAAACTCCTCAGTCAGCTTGGAAAGACTCCTGATATAGCCCCCGAGGATCTCCGTTTGGTTGAACAGTTTGTGGTGCCAGCTTTATACAAGGTTTGTTGCGTCCCTTTTCTAAGACACATGGTGAATTAGAACTGTTAGCCGTTCTTATACTAATATCATTTTTATTTCAAGTTGGACCGCACATTACCCGTGTTGCAATTTTTGGGACAGTGTGAATGATTTTTGCCATCTACCACTGATGCCATCCATCAACACATTCTTCGATGGATTTTAATTTAAGTCTGTTTTCTTTTTAGGTACTTACTAGTGTGTGGTTTAACGCCCATGATCAGTATCTTGATTCACCAGACCCGATTAATTGCGGCTGGAAAATTGGTGATGGACGGTAAGTCCCAATCTTGATGACTTCGCTACCTCTTCCCAAGTCATGTCCCGAATTTGGAGCTTGTGGCTGCATGGGGCTCTGCGGTCACTGCGGCACGAAGCAGTGTGGCTGCAGGGAGCCGAATGGAGCAGAAAAGATGAGGAAGACTACTAATAGTGAACTTTTTTTTTTTCAAAATATAAGAAATGAAGGCTTGGACAATGTTCAAATGCTTTTTTGGCTCATAAACGTATCGAGCACCCTCGAAAACGTATGCAAGCATGTACATTATACAACAAGTTTTCACAAGTTCTTTGGAATTTTGGCCCATTTCGTCAAAATTTGATCATTCGATGAACTTTCAAAGCTCTAAATCATTTTTTTAATTGTCTCATCGTATTCTACACCCCCGAAAACATAGACATCGACACCTCAATCGTATAGCTGACCGAAAGTAGAAAATAATTAGATTTTAGGGGTATTCTGGACGCCATCTTGAATATCTCACTTCCGGTTGGAATTTCGACTTGATAAACGGTATTTTCGGATTCAGCGGGGTCAAAATAGGGGGTTAACAGCATTTATCCAATTGTTACATGAAATGCTTCTAGGATTGTAACGGAGGGCTTTTTTTGGAATTTAGCCCCGACTATATACACTTATACAGTCTGTACAAGATAAGGTTGCACAGCATGGGGATCTCGGAAACGGTAGGAGATACGAGATACGAAGTCGGTTAAATGGGGAAAAAGTTGCGCATTCGGAGGCTCATATCAAGAGCCTTCGAAAATTTCGAAAATTATTTTTAGTTTTTGAGTTATATCGAAAAAAGTGAATTTTTGGAATTTTTATTTTATTTTTTTTTCTCCGTTATTATTAGAGATACAGAAAAACTGAAAATACTTTTTCATAGCAACTTTTGATGACGCTTAACGTAGTGATACCGATTTTTTTATGCGACGTTTTGTATTCGTGGAACCATCATCAACTTTTGTTTTTTAAATACGGTCCTGATAATTTTTCCACAGATTCTGAAAGGTTTTTTTATTCTGAATTCAACCATGTATTATAAAAGGTGGTTTGAATGTGTTTCGAATTATTTTTAGCCATCATCAATGTTTTTTTTCGAAATTCCAAAGGAAAAATGCCATCAGTTCCACTTATTTTGAAGGAAAATTAGCCAACAAACGAATAACTCATTAACTAGTTCCGATTGATAGACTTATAGGAATAATTAGTTCGAAAAATGTAATTATGACAAGCTCCTTCGGATTAAAATATGAATACAATTCATAAACAATTCGAAGCGCTGCATTGAATAATTTAGTGGATTTTTTTTCACTTTTCAGTATTGAATAACTAGTCCATCAATGTTTGACACTGAATAATCAGAAATAAGTGAAACTGATGGCATTTTTCCTTTGGAATTTCGAAAAAAACATTGATGATGGCTAAAAATAGGTCGAAACACATTCAAACCAGCTTGTTCAATACATGGTTGAATTCATAATAAAAAAGCTTTCAGAATCTGTGAAAGAATTATCAGGACCGTATTTGAAAAACAAAAGTTGGTGATGGTTCTACGAATACGAAACGTCGCATAGAAAAATCGGTATCACCACGTTAAACGTCATCAAAAGTTGCTATGAAAAAGTATTTCTAGTTTTTCTGTATCTCTAATTATAACGGAGAAAAAATAAATAAAATAGATATTCCAAAATTTCACTTTTTTCGATATAACTGGAAAACTCAAAACAATTTTGAAAATTTTCGAAGGCTGTTGGTATGAGCCTCCGAATGCGCAACTTTTTCCCCATTTAACCGACTTCGTATCTCCTACCGTTTCCGAGATCCCCATGTTGTGCAACTTTATCTTGGACAGACAATATAATATGTCCCAGCAAAAACTTGATAGTGAACTCTTTCACCAAATAAGTCATCATTGTGCCGTCAACCCCCTCATTCCCAGCACCCCCTACTTCAGAATGTCTGATCGCTAACACTTATTTTTCATTAAAACTTCCACAACACTTAATCGATTCTCAATTGCACTTCACCATTGTATTAAGGATTTGATTTCCTTCAAAATTATGTACCTACCTCCCTATCATGAGGATAGTAGTTGAATTGAAAATTCTGAAGTTGGGGGTGCTTGGGATGAGGGGATTACAGCACAATGATGTAGTATTTGGTGAAAGAGTACGCCTAGAAGTAAAAATCGACGGATCTGAGCAATTTTTTATCTCTTAACAAGTTTTAGCTGGGGCATACTGTATACCTCGCTGTATACCTAATACCTACTCGTATTTTTCTATCTAATTTCTATATTCATCATCAGCTGAACCCCATCAGTATAAAACATCCTATAAATACTACCACCTGTATTGAATCTATTTTCAAAGAATCCTCTTTGCTATTTTCGTTTCCATAAATTACCTATACTTACCTATACTTATCAATTTTGAGGAAGCCTTATCTTGTTAAAATTTATCTCCATTGATACCAAATTGCAATATTTTATGTACTTATAATATATATATTTTGAGTGTACCTATACAGTGAAACTGTGGTGAAGAAGATAACGTATGTAGATTTGCTGAATATTATGATAGCCTTCGTAGAACTTTTTCTAGTATCAATCTCTATATCCGTCATAATATTCATCGAATTACTAGACAGGAACCCACCGCCTATTTTTGGTGTTTATCAAAGAAGAAATGGATTTTATTGGTTCAAAGTGGCTATCGCCTATTGTCTACTATCAGTGAAAAAGGTGAGATAATCGATCTATTCCTTATATGTCATATCACGCAAATTTGCAGATATCTCAAACCTATAGGTACTCTGAATATCCTCGATATAAACATACGCAACAGCTTATACAGGCTGATTCAAGGTTGATGATACATTATTAGACAGTTTTCACGAAACAGGTGTCAAATCGCCTCTACTAGATTAATTCGTATCGTAACTCATAACTCATGCTCGTGTATTAATAGCATCATTACATGATCGTTGCATACACTTCACGACAAATAAATAATGAAATGAATACAAAAATTCATGTGTTGACATCGAATGTCAATTGAAATTAAATGTCGACAAACTCAGAAACATAGACTCACTTGATCCAAGTACCTACGTGTTTCTATAGGCCAAAAATTCGTTTCATAATGAAAAATACGCGTGTTTTCATTGGTCGAGATCTATATCATTATAAAAATCCATGTTGAAATGAACAATATTAATTAATCAGCAGCAGATATATATTTGATCCGCTTATTGTAATACGGGAGTCTCGACGGGAGTAGAAAAATACATTTATTTTTGGCAATAATCAATTTCAAATTGGAACTGATGAATAATCTGAAATACATTCGTATTGAAAATCAATAAGGTAAAGGTATGTACAGGGTATCCCACATAACATGGGCCACCCCCTTATCTGGTAAACTATTATATATACAGAAAAAAGTTCAGAATAAACGTTGTATTACTTCTTTTGAAATTTATTTTTTAGATACTTTCATTTATACAGGATGGTCCATATGTCTGTGACTTATCACACATACGTTTTTTCAAATAGAATACCCTATATTTTATCATATTTTTAGATAGTACTTCAGAAGACGAGTTCAATGATATATAATAACATGGGTCTGAGATCACCCGTTTCGGATTTATACACGATCTTCTTCAATAAATTGCCCGCAATTTCAAAGCCCTATAGAAACGTTATGAATGAAGTTTTCGATTCGCAGTTCCCGCTATGAATTAACAAAAATTTAGGAATTTTCAAGTTGCCAAGAGTGATGACGTATTTCGAATAAATATCTCGAGATTTTCAAATGGAACACCCTATATTCCATTCCAAATTTGCATAGAGCTCAGGAAGACGAGTTCGAATTCAAGATTGGAGTATTGTATTTTGATGATGGATAGACATTTTGAAAATGATATTTTCAGTCATATATTATGGACCGATGAAGCAACCTTTACTACAGCGGGCATATTCACTATTGGACAGATAGAAATCCACATATGATAAAAAAAATTAAAAAGCAAGGTCATCGCAGTATCAATGTCTGGTGTGGAATAATCAGAGATAGGATTGTGGGCCCTATATTTTTTGAAAAAAGTTTGAATGGCGAAAGATACCTGAATATGAAGTGCAAGCTCTGATAAACGATTTGCCAGAGTTCATTAGGGAAAATATTATTTTCCAACAAGATGGCGCTCCATATCATGGTGTGCAACCAGTTACGGACTTCTTGAATCAATCATACGAAACTTGGATTGGACGAGATGGATCTATCTTCTGGCCACCACGTAGTCCCGATCTCACCCCTTTAGATTTTTTCTTATGGGGTACTTTGAAAAACAAAGTTTATGAAAATCGATGTGACAACATAAAACAATTAAAAGAAAATATACGAGTCGCAATCGTGAATTTGGATGAATCACATGCAGTAGCAAATACACATTTGATTTGACTACTTTGTATATTCAATTGAATACTATATCTAATTGTTACTGTTGTTATGTTTACTCGTTTTCTCAGTTACTGTTAGTTTTTTTGTTTGACTATTCATTAAAGAAGATCGTGTATAAGTCCGAAACGGGTGATCTTATGATTATTGGTTTTCAAAATACGTCATCACTTTTGGCAAATTCAAAATTCCTGAATTTTCACCATAGAACAAAATAATATACAGACTTTGTTAATTTATAGCAATAGTTGCGAATCGAAAACCTCATTCACAACGTTTCTATAGGGCTTTGAAATTAGACAATTTATTGAAGAAGATCGTGTATAAATCCGAAACGGGTGATCTCAGACCCATGTTATTATATATCATTGAACTCTTCTTCTGAAGTGCTATCTGAAAATATGATGAAATATAGGGTGTTCCATTTGAAAAAACGTATTTGTGATATGTCACAGACATATAGATCATCCTGTATAAATGAGAGTATCTAAAAATTAAATGTCATAAGAAGTTATAAAATTTTCATGCTGAACTTTTTTCTGTATATATAATAGTTTACCAGATAAGGGGGTGGCCCAAGTTATGTGGGATACCCTGTACCTACCTGTTCAAATTGAAATTATTCAATTCCATATTGGATACTTGGATAGCAATTCAATTAACGGTATCAAACACGAAAGTTAATATTAACAAAAGTGAATAATGATAAATAATATTTTTTTCTGATAAGTATACCTTATATTTATAGATGTTTCTTCCTCTATTTTTTTAATAGTGCCATTCTATAGTATACCTCTTGGGCATTCTTATTTTATGTGAAAATGATGTCATCAATTCGAAGAAGGTATATACTGCACCTACCATCTCTATCTTGAATTACTTCAAATTTGCTTCAAATTATGTATTTTTGAATTTTCAATGCAGTGACGTAACCATTCTAATAAAAATCAGCCCGTTATCCGGGACACCGAATACTAACAAAGCATCCCTGAAAATGTTCAAGATGAAAAATATTCAATAGGGGTATATTCCGAATCTTCGTATCATTCATCATATCATTTCCTTATTGGTATATCAACCAATGAAAATAAGATCATTCCCATCATCACTCTCCAAAGTCGTCAGGGCACATCATCAACACCAACAACATTGCAAGAGTAGTGAAATTTTTTGCAGAAATGTTCGCAGCAAACTCCAACTTAGATTCCCATGGAAAAGAGCCATCAAATACTCCTCCCGTTGAAAGTCGAATGACGAAATTCGTCTTTCGCCAACGTTCTATTAGTCGCATTCTGTGCGGGAATGGGGCTAACGGTCCTGATGGAATCCCACCATTATTCTCAAAAAGTGTGTACCAGAATTGACATTGATTCAGGAATCATTATTGATAGACATTATATGGCATTCGCAATCGAAGAACAGCTGGAGGTTACCCGCATATAATATGGCAAGTTTCAATAGAAAAGAGAAAAGGAAATGACACTCTATAATTGACACCCAGAGATTTGTCAGCTTCTCCAGATACTAAACCTAAACCTATATCAAATATATGGCACTATCTGTCGTTAACTTCTCCCCCCCCCTCCCGCAAACAAGTAAATATTATCATTGGATCACTTAGTAGACTGCTGCCGAAAGATCCAACAAGAACTGCAATTGTTGCACTGGAAAATCGTTTCACCTTCCAACTGCTGCTATATTGCATATTGCTACTCACAATACCCATGTTTTTCTTGCCTCGACACTTGCTGCTAGCATCTGCTAGTATACAATCAGATCCGCTTCTTCGCTATTCGATATCCAGTATCGTCAGAGTAGTCCTGGTTACATACAAAACATCCAGGACGGTCAGTCGTCTGCTTATCCTGTTGATTATCCTTCTTCGTCTTGACAACTTGTGAATCTGCTTTCGAATATTTATTTTGACTATTTTACTCATCTCATAATCTGATCAATCACAAGCCAGAGACAACTTGTGTTATCACGAAAACACTAGCTGTCCTTCAATAATTCTGATTGGTCTATCAGCGTTGGTGTTTTCAACGATATCAACGATGTAACCATGGATAGCGAAGCAAAGTCTGTCAGCTGTCAGTTTGGTATGAAATAATTATAGCTGTACTTGCTTTTTATGCTTCGTGAACGTGAAATAGTTTAGCAAAATACGACTATGTTCTGAATATCTTCTCATAATTCTGTATTTCATTATTAACTCAATTGTGTTGCCGTACCATAATACCACCTGTGATACCACTCATCCTAGCGGACTCGTGGTGTTGCTCGGCAACACAATTTCGTTAGCAATGAAGCGACAGAATTATCTCGAATATTAAGAACATCGTGATATTACTTATGACCAACTGTCCTAAAAATAAAAAAAATTATAATCACGGCCTACTGCATTTTACGTAGAAACTTTAGATCTGGCAATCTTGATTTTATGCCAGAAAATTTTACGAGCTTTTCAAGAATCTCATTATTATAATTCCGTCATGTACGGAAACATTATTTTTTATTCATCATTCCTTATGCCTCATAAGTTGTATTGTGATGAGTTCCAATAAGATTTAGAGACTATTATATTTTGTTTTCTGTACTAAATATTTAATTTTTTATTTTTTGTTCCTTATTTTTTCACATTAATGAGGAAGTGATGGGTTCCAATAAGATATACCAGATGTGTGGAGACTATTTTATTTTGTTTTCTGTTCTAAATATTTTATTTTTCATTTTTTGTTCCTTATTTTTTCGCATTAATAAGAAAGTTATTGGGCATTGAAGAAATCTTCGTTATTCGAGAAATGTCCTCAGGCGGCCTGTACATTTCGATGATCCGAACTGAGAGTATCTTATTAACTTCCGTTTTTTTTTTTTCAGTTCAAATCATCCCTGAAACGATATCATGTGATGAACAATCTAGAACAACCGCAGTTGATATTTCATGAACAGGTTAGTCATGACTCGTTAATCTATTGTCATAAATTCAAAGAAGGAGCAAGCATTTCAGGGAGGAGATTATATGTTAATTATTCCGTGCGTAATAAGCGAAGCACTTATTGCTCGGATTTGTGGGCGTTGTAATACTTTAGCGAACTAGGGCGATAAAGGGGTACAACAAGCGAAAATATATAGTCCAGCGGGCGTTGAAGTAGGTGAACGAGTTGTAAAAAAAATCACTGTTCATTCAGTAATTTCTAGTGGACTACAATTTGATCTTTCTTCACCAGTGGCAACCATAATTTGGCTAGATGAATTCAAAATCAATTATAAATTCCATATTGACAGTGATGAGTAAATGTATGAAACGGTTGTGCATGAATTGTAAGTATTTCGGGCGTAACTTGCTTTCATGAGCCTCAAGGATTATTTATAGGATGCTCTAAGAATGTTGCGAATATTTATGGAATGTCGTTCCATGCGAAACTTCTAATATGAGAGTGAATTCATAGGAGCTCTGAGATATAATATTTCCAGAATCTTCATGAAATGATATGTTCAGAATATTGTGAACATTCATGGAATATTCCTTGCGAATATTCTGATGATAATCCAAAAATACGTTCCTATAAGCTTCTGAAATGGAATATCATAGAACGACAACATTCAAATATACTTATTTCAGAATATTCTGATAGAATGTTCTTAGAAATGTTCATTGAATTTTTTCATTCTTCAACAAATTTAATATTCTACGAACATTCAATTCGACATATTCTCAGAATATTCTGTTCAAATATTCTGACAACATAGGGAATCGTATCAAATTGTGATGTTATTCTTGTATTAATATTGGCTCAACCTATCATTAGGGTTTGTCTGCGTATCCTAAAGTAGGATCTCCAGCCCCAATGCTCATTATCCTACTAATGAAGTGTTGACATTTTGCTATTCTTGTTGTTCAATATAGTTATTTTTGTACCTAGAGCACAAAATGCTACTTTGGTGATCGAGATCTGATTTTTTTAACGAGGCGTAGCCGAGTTAAAAAAATAGTCGAGATGACCAAAGTATTTCGCGCTCGAGTTGCAAACAACATTTTTTTCTACAAACGCCAAAAAATATAGTTCTAAAGTAAAAATATGCTTAGCTTGATATAAAAAATAGTGTTGATCTGGCTCAAAAAGCCTCCCCATATCCTCCCTAGGTACGCACGATGTTCCACCAACATAATATGAATTTCCTTTGGTGCGCTCCAAGAGATAAAACAAAGATATTGTTGAACATTCAGGAATAAATGATTTCGTGGATGTTTGCTCGATTGAGGACTATACAGTTGAAATATAAATATCTCATATTTTACATAACAATGCGCGAAGTAGGTACTTCGCGCACTGTTTTACTTCGCGCATTGTTTTGTGCAAGGTATCATGGTAACGTAGGAAACTGAAAAAATGTGTCACTTCGCAATTTGTTATCAATGCGCGAACCTTGTCATTTTTTGACGTTTGTAGAAAAAAAAAGTTTGTATAGCGCAGTGGAAAAGGTGTATAAGGATTGTAATCAGTTAATCGCAAGAGATAGTATATAGTATAGCAATCCCAGCGGAATAAGCTTTTTTTTTTTGATTTCCTTCCGTCTCCTATAATATACCGTGAATATTCGCAAAATATTTCAGAGACAGTACCTTGAATATTTGAATCATATTCTACGAAAATTCTGAGATTATTCAAAGAATCAGCTATAAGTATTTTGATAATGAACTCAGATCATCCTCCAGAATATTCCGAGAATGTTCAGAGTATGTGAAACTCAGTCCACTTTGGATGTTCTTACAATGATCATAGTATATTTAGAGTGCATTGTGGAAATATTCTGAGAACATTCAGATGTTCCATCATGTGCTTCTATGAATATTCTATGAATGTACTTTTGTTCTATCTGGATTAATATATAAAAGCATATTTTACGCCCTCGATACATAAATTACTATTATTTAGGTCAAGAATGTAATGAATAATGGTGTTCCTAATGAATTCTGAAGTTGGTAGTGGAGAACGTTTTAATAAAATTTTCAGTTATATTTCAACCAAAATGCATCGAACAGTTTGTTGAAAAACTCGAAATCCTTTGTTCATTTCTCGAAAACTGTTCGATATATCTTTCCGATTTCCGATAGAACAAATATTCATAACTGGGATTGTAGTCCATTTTATAGATATTTTCATGGATGATGCTCTTCTGAAATATCAACAATTGTTCCTCCCTTGGTAGTACCCGCGAGATTAACCCGTCGAGTTGTGGCTTCGCACCCCTTCGTGTTCACTTTGGAGACACCTGCAGAACATCTCTTCCCAAAGACTCGTTCGTCCAACGAACAGCGAGGCTCTGGAACAAATTGCCAAAGGAGGTGTTCCCCCAGGCATATAACCTCCAGAAATGTATGAGGAACACCAATTCCTATCTTATTTCCCTTGGTTCTCACGATGTTTTCTGAACATTACAGGATATCCCTTTTCGTACTGGTTATACAACTAAGAAAAAATACCGGCTGTATCTCGGAAACCATTTGCCGCAGCCGTTCTACCGCGATTTTTTTTGATCGAAATGATTGAAAATCGACTCGAGATAGAAAAAAAGGTCTTCGCCATGTGTCTTGATGTAATGATGTATCGAATTCTCCTTTTCACCTCTCTAATACAATGACACACTCTAGCGGCCGCAAATAGTATCCTTATTGAGATACAGCGGCCGTCCTTTCTCATTTGTAAATCCGGTACATAAAACATAAAGTTGAAATCTTTCAAAAGTAGTATGAAATATTTTTGATCATTATATAAACCTGATTTATACAGGGTGAGTCATGAGGAACTGTACATGCTCCTACTACGAATAGAGGCATCTGAGGGGAATACCAAATGACCATCAGAAAGTGTCTCCGACTCTTCTAAAATAATCTATAGGGTGATTAATGAGATATGGCAAAAACTTCTTTCAATCATAACTTTCCAACAGTTCTTTCGATTTCTTTCATTTTTTCATGGATTATCATGCTGTCACTCAGCAATCAACTGACGTATTCAGAATCGTGAAAATCCAGGACCGGTCTTGAGAAATTCTGCCAATTTGGTCCATATAAAAAATTTCACCCTGTATGAGGTTTTAGTAAACTGTGATATGGAATTTCTGAAGTTGATGAACAGGCAACTAAAATGAAGTATTTCAAATTTTCCTCACAATTTCATTGAATTTCTTAAAAAATGATTAATTTAAACTACACACGAAACTTGGGCAATAAATGTATTAATTTGAAAATTAATACTTCGCAACGCATGAATTTCACGAATGAAAGTAGGGATAATATCATTCCCAATTCTTCAGCTCAACAATAATCAACATTCTTCTATTTCCAGGGTTGGATTCAGTAATTTTTTAGTAGAGAGTAATAATCACCAAAAATTACACCCTGTATATGGTTTTAGTAACCTGTGATATGGAATTGTCAAAGTTGATGAACTGGCAACCAAAATTAAGTATTTCAAATTTTCCTCAGAGTTTCACAGAATTTCTTAGAGTACGATCAATTTTCACTACACGCGTGAAACTTTCGCAACAAATGTATTAATTTGAAAATGAATACTTCGCACCCCTAGAATTTCACGAATAGAAGCAAGAATAACATCATTTCCTATTCTTCAGTTCACTGAAAATCAACATTCATCTATATCCAGGGTTGGATTCAGTAAATTTTTGGTACATGGTAATAGTCACCAAAAATTGCACCCTGTATATGATTTTAATAAACTGTGACATGAAATGTTCGGAGTTGACAAACAAGAATCAGGAATAATTTTACCCTTACTTTTATTCGTGAAGTTCATGCATTGCGAAGTATTAATTTTGAAATTAATACATTTGTTGCCCAAGTTTCGTGTGTAGTTTAAATTAATCATTTTCTAAGAAATTCAATGAAATTGTGAGGAAAATTTGAAATACTTCATTTTGGTTGCCTGTTCATCAACTTTAGAAATTCCATATCACAGTTTACTGAAACCTCATACAGGGTGAAATTTTTTATATCAACCAAATTGGCAGAATTTCTCAAGACCGATCCTGGATTTTCACGATTCTGAATACGTCAGTTGATTGCTGAGTGACAGCATAATAATCCATGAAAAAATGAAAGGAATCGAAAGAACTGTTGGAAAGATATGATTGACAGAAGTTTTGGCCATATCCCATAAATCACCCTATAGATCATTTTAGAAGAGGCGGAGACACTTTCTGATGGGCATTTGGTATTCCCCTCAGCTGCCTCTATTCGTAGTAGGAGCATGTACAGTTCCTCATGACTCACCCTGTATATGTAAAATATGTTTCAACATTTTTCTCCATAAATTTCAAGGCTACTGATACAGTGTATATGAGCGGCAGCAACAGTGATGGAGATCACATGACTGTTCGTCTAGAATCAAGAAAAGACTACGTAAATGCACAACTTTACCTAAAAATCAACTCTTCGAATTTTGGGGTACTGGAAATAAATGCGAATCCATCTGATACTTCTTGGACAAAACCTGGAGAAAATTGTTTCGAATTTTCTGCCCATGGGATGAAATTCATTCCCTTGGAACCTATGAAAAAATGGAGGTTCATTTACGAAGGAAGTATGTTGGAAAAGGGTAATCCATCAGTTGAGCATTATGTAAAAATTGACGGTATTTGGACGTCAAAAAAACCATATTTCTACTTTGATAGTGACATGGATCCAATGCTAACATCGAAATGTCTAGCACATGAAAAGTTCAATAAAACCCAATTCGAAAATTTGAAAGTGTGAGTTTTCTATAATATAATAGTTATACAGGGTGAGTCATTCATGTGGGAAAGTTGCATTGCACCTACACTGTTAATGAATTAATGATATCGAAATTAATCAAGCGGCACTGCGTGAAGGTTGAAAAAGTGCAATTCATCCTGTATATTTTTACACATATTTGAATTTTAGTTGGAGTGCAGACTGTAAACTGTATACGTAGACTTACGAGGGTACTTTTTTCATTGTTTCCTTGGTTACTTTATTTTTAGTTTTTATGCACGGGACTAAAGTTCTATTTATTCCTCAGCGAATTGTGGTCCTACCGGAAGAATCAATAGTCCCACGTATCACCAATAAACCCAGGAATATTCTTACAAGCTGCGGAAATGTCATCTTGTACAATATTCTATGGAACATTTATAGAATATTCTTAGAATAGTGCTAAGATTCATGGATTGTTCCGGATATTCTAATAATATTATGAAAGTACGTTCCTAGAAGCTCCTGAGATACAATTTTCCAGAATGTTCTGAAATGATGATTTCAGAATATTGTGAACATTCATGGAATATTTTGATGATATTCGAAAATAACTTCCTATGAGATTCTGAAATGAAATATTCTGGAACAACAACATAATATTCTGATAGAATGTCCTCAAAATATGATCATTCACTATATGATTCGTGATATTATTACTGCGATTTTCAACTGGGATTGTAAGAAATGGCAGTTATTCGTGATGCAGAGAAGTTTCCCGCTTGACGCGTTCCAAAATCTAGAACAATTTTGAGGATTGTGCAAAGATTGCGTGAAAAATAATGTTTCAAAACAAAAAATAGAGATGGTGCCCGGCCAAGAAGTTCGAGGCCTACTAAAATATTGTTACTGATGAATTTACCTGCTGATATCATGTCAGTACAAAAAATCGAATAATTTTTAGGTGATTTTCTTCTTTTTATCAGATGCTTCTGTATTTCTCACCGAAAAGAAAACAAGAAAAAAAGTGGTCTTCCAAAAATCACGACCCATCCTCTAAAAACACCCTTCATAACTATAGCAAAAATGTATAAGTGTATCATAAAACTGAAGTTCATTAACACACATTTATGTAGGAAATTTCAATTTGGTGGCTTCTGCCGTTTAGAAGTTATGCGGAAAAATTATTTTAATTTAATCAACTTTGGAAATATATATATCTCCCTTAATACACATTTTGGACCATTCAAACTATACTAATTTTTCAATGTAATATCACATAGAAAGCTGGGTACACATTTTTGACTCACCCTGTACACCTATACATAAACTTACCTTTGAAACTTGAGATGATATTGTTTTTCAGATTAAATGAAACTGGTAGTGAACAATTTGGGACCATGAAATTAAATGTGATCATCGACGAGAAGTGTTATATAATTGAACTTGATACTATCAGGAGTCGTAATGTTGAGAATTACAAGGATTGGAGTCGATATTACAGATGTGGATTTCACTATTTTGCAACTGAAAACGGGGATTGCTTCAGTATCAGCGAAATTTGCCGACCAATAGCATCTTCCAGGTATTTTCGTATTTTTTTACAATCTTTAGCTACTTCAGGAAAAGGGGAAGGTAACAAGATTTATTCTTCTTCTGAAGATGGCGTGTGGGGAACTGGGAAAAAAGTAGCTGAAAAAAACAATAGGTATAATTTCATTCTTTATTACTATCATTTTTTGATATCTCACTCGATAAATGCATGTTTAATTGTATGAAAGTTTAATTGTTATGGCAAGCAATCGAAAATTGAAGGAGTGAAAAAATTGTGAGAGCTTATCATTGTGCGAGTGATTTTTTTCTACTTCAGGTACCTTGATTCGATATTTTTTTACCAAATGACGATAGACTGTATCGTGCAAATTGGAATGTATATATCAATAAAAAACTTTGAATGGATTTTAGATAGAAAAGGAGAATTGATAAATCATGAAACACTCCTCAATTTTGCTTGGAACAAAAGAATGATATAACATAGAAATTCTTTTGTTTTTTTTACAAAAGTTCCAATGTTGAGTTGATTTTCTGATAGTTTATGTATGTATACAGTTTGTCTCACTTCTGATGGAAATACCCCTGTATGTGGAAGTTATATATTGAGAATTGTAACGAAAAATGAGGTTCCACATGTTTCTGGTTCATCTATTTTTCTTCTAAAATGATTGAGATATCCGCTTGTAATGACATTTTGGGACACCCGGCCTGTTGCTTAGTATATATGAACATCAATTATTTTTATTTATGTATTTTGTTTTCAACATATTATCTGAATGAATCAGGATTATCGGGGTTACATCATTCCAGGTTTTCCTTTGGACACGTTTATTCTGCAGCTGATAAGAAAATATACCCAATAAAGGACACTAGCTTGAAACTCTATCAATATGGAGGCATCAATGCACCACCAGAAGATTATGCGTTCACTTTTTCAGCTGGTGAGTGATAATAAATTTCAATTATGCAGATGTACAGTCAGAAGCAATGAATATGTCGCACATAGGCGGTGATAAAGCACTTCTGCAATAAAAGCGATAATCCAATCGCGACTTATTCTTTTCATCTGACTGTACCTTAAGGTCATTTGTTGGTCTATATGTTTGTTATCTACACTCACCGGCAAAAAAAACCGGCCAGCATAAAAATTTGCGAAATTGATCGCTCTGTAACCGGTAACTTTATTACTTCTCCAATTTTGGTGACATTCCGAATTTTAAAAATTAGATGATGGCTTGGTCATTATACAGGGAAAATCGAAAGTTACTGTTTTACGCTTGAATTCTTATTCATCATGTTTTGGATTGAAGTGTGATCTATTCTTGACACAATGGTTTTTGATTCTCGTCAATATTATCTTTTTTCAAAGAGGAGATAACGCGAATGTTTTTTTGAATTTGCAGAACCTACATGAACTTATCGATGATTAACATCTTCGGAAAACATCTATGAGTTGATATAAATTATTTCCACTTCGTTTTTTCAGCCTTCTGCAATAAATAGAAACCTCAATTAGCAAATACTAAAAATAAGCAGACCTCCTTGATATTCAACCGCAGTCTTGATGAAATTGCCTCAAATTCTCCTTGAAAGGCGAATCGTAGCTCTTAAAGACGAAGGAGCCTCTGGAGTTTGTCCCAAATATGCTGAGCATGTTCTGAAATATTAATTATAAAAATTTTAAAAACTATACTTTCTTAAACCATTTGTATCTTCTCTTGTAAAGAATATTTTGCCGTGAATCAAGAACCAATGTGTTGAGAAGGGACAAAAAGGGATCATACTTCAATCCAAAACATGATGAAACATGGAGAATAGTTCTGAATTATGGTTAATAAAAATTTATAAATGTCATACTTTCTTAAAACACCTGTATCCTTCCATAAAAAGGAGATAATAATGTCAATAAAAAACCATAGTGTTGAGTAAGGGATCACACTTCAATCCAAAACATCATTTATGAAGAGTGTGTATTGAACTGTCAGATAATTTTTGCTGGTAAATAAAATGTCTTGTCAGCGAATAAATTTTGGTGCGAGTTTATAGTCAATACCTTTTCGATTGAAACGCGGTGTATCTTTTTGCACAGCAATATTTTACAAAGACCCCTGTATATTTCTGCAACCCCTCCTTCCATCTTTCCCGATTCCTGATCACTATCATCTCCTTCATCTTCTATTTTTTTTTCTTCTATCGCTCGCAGCAACCATTTCATTCAATTTCTACCAACTCTCCGAGATATCTCCAGCGCAGTCCCCAGTATACACGGAATGCAACATTGAGCAACCTTATAATATAGAGGAGGGAACAGACCAAGCAAACATTGTTGTGCAACAGTTGAACAACAGGTAGGCAACTGTTGGCCAACTTGTTTCCGTGGGAAGAAAACATTTTCGACAAACTGTTGGGCAACATGGTGTTCGTCCTTCGTCCAGTGTTCGTTCAGTCAGGAACCATGAGCTACGAAGAATATGCGTCTACACTGCAGACACTGTGTGCGCATTGGGCCACATCTCCTTTGGAGTACCGCCTCGGGAATCAGTTCGGCAACAGCTGCACAACTGTTGTTCCGTTGTTCCACTGTTGCACAACAATGTTTGCTTGGTCTGTTCCCACCTTATATGCGAAGAAAAATGAAAGATGCCGTGAATATAAATATGAAGCTGTTTTTCAGGTGAAAAAACTTATGCTGTCCAAGTGAGAGTGGTCGATTCATCTCATTTTTACGTTAGCAATGACAAGGAGGCGAAGGTATATGAGAGATTTTCTTCGTTCAAACTGAACGGATTGAAAGGATGGGGAACATCACAGTGGCAGTACAGAAACATCTGTGAGAAGACCTATCCATAAGAAATGAGCGGATCTGCTGGTAAATTTATTTTTAAGGATAAATGTAATAAATGTAAAAAATATGTGAACAAGAGTGCTTCCACTCAAATATTGAATATTTCTATTGACATACCAGTGTTTGTGATATTTACAGGATGTTTCATAATATATGTGAATGATCTCCTTGAAAACGTCTGTTAATTAGGTAAGCGATCTTTCTATGCGAAAAAAATTACCTCGGTGCTTTTGTGGTCCCGTATCTGAATTGACATCTTCCACCACTATCCCAATTTGTAAATTTTTCACTGTCTCCCTATCCTGATGTTTCGCTATGGTCATCACCCCAGATGAAGGTTCCACATAGAAGGAACCATAGCAATCGAAATCTTGATTTTTCAAAGCCATTTCTCTCTCGTTTTGTGCTACACAGTCGTTTTCATCAATCTTGATGACTAATTTTGCGGTTGAATCTTGATCGTCTGCTGTTAAGTTAGCTATTACTGTGCCAACCTAAAAAATACACCGATTCAACAATATATATCACATCTCACCTGAAAACCTGCAATTTTTTGAATATTTATAAAACAATAAATATTTGTTCGATTGGAATTATAATTGACTGAATATTTTATCAGGGTAGGTTGCAAGATTTTATTGCAATAATTATATTGATAATCTACAAATCACAAATCAATTGAAGATCTCATACTATAATGAGTTTCATACAGGGTGAGGATTTGAAAACGAGCAGTCCTCAATATGTCTTCAACTGATGACACTATGAAGATTACGTCAATTTATATATCGAGGGTAACCAATTTTGAGGTAATATCCCTGAAATTTTAAATAGCAACCTCCACTCATTTTGATATTTTTCAAATCCTTATGTTATCCAGACAAGTTACATCTATTTTTGATTTTTTTCCTCAAAATGGCAGTACTTTCGGATTGCCATTTATTATAACGATGAAATTAGTGACAAGAGACCAAATTGTCACCCGGTATACAGGTGTGTCTCACAAGAAGGCCAATTTTCTAAATCAGTCAACTGAATTTATAATTGCAATTAATGAATTTATTATAATGGTGTTCTCCTGTGCGGAGCTGGAATATTTAAACAGGCAATACTTCATTGATCATCCCTTAGCAGGCGTTCCAGATTGATCTAAAATGTACCAGCTTATCGTTAAACATCCAATATGATACTGCGATGAAGGGTTCTCGATTATTCGACAAAATTTCTGATTATACTGTATCACGTGATCAAAGTGTTATGTTTGAGTCAAACTCATGCAGTCATACTAAAAAACAACTTATGGGGGATAACGCCAACTTCATTATACCTATCTCGAAAATCAAACTTCCTGGATCTCTAACCACCGCCGCCTTATCATCGCATTCACATCTATGACACATCTATACCGGAATAACTATGGATGGTAGATAACGAGACAAAAACAACTACTTTCCTGGTTATATGCCACGCAGAACATTGGATTAGATCCTCCCGAAATCTATGCAATAATTCGTATAGACGAATAAAATCGAAAATGTTTCCTTCCTAAACGCCGAGCTGGGCCTAAGCAGTTCAGGACCGTGTGATTACCTGCAAACCGCTGTTGGCTTCCATCAGTGCAGGGCTGTCCCAGATAGCATTCTTGACCGCAATCGGGTGCGAACCAGAACCAACCTTAACGCATCTCAGCATTCAAATTGATATCACCTGAAATGGGATCTTGTTTTGGAGTGTTTCTTTCCTTGCCAGGTACTGTTCGGCGTTCGGCGTTCGCGTTCTTTTCGTGGACGTTGAACGCCTCGTGGGATATAAATGATGAGATGCGTTTACGTTGGGTCAGGTTCGCACCAGATAGCGATCAAGAATGCTATCTGGGACAGCCCCCAGCACTGATCAGAGCCGTTGATTGATATATTACGAAGAGCCAACAGCTCGAAACCGGTCTGCCAGGCAGTCACGCGTTCATGAACCACTTAGGCGCAGCTCGGCGTTTAGGAAGGAAACACTTGCGATTTTACTCGTCTATACGAATTATTGCATAGATTTCAGGAGGATGTAATCCAATAGCCAGGAAAGAAGTTGTTTTTCTCCCGTTATCTACCATTTTCTTTCATTTTATGAACTATTGCGGTAATGACTTTGAGTTTCTCTCTCTTTGAGATCATTGCATTCTACTTTGAGTATTTGGCCTATTCCTAGTTGAAAAAAGAAGAATTATGTATCTGCGGTTTTCAAGGTTATTAGATGACGTTGTAATGCCTTTAAAAACTACGACAAAAAAAGGCCTTTGACAGGAGATAGGATGTTTTCCTATGATGACCTTGACTACCGCGAATTGCTTTTTGTTATCGAACATGGATACTATTGAAATGAGTCATAATTACGAAACTATTTCTGAATGAAGGTAATGGTTTTTTGAGCCCTAGAGTGCATTGCATGTCACTAAAAATTCTAGTTGAATACCATTGAGATCTGCATCTCTCGCTTCAACTCTCAACGGTTGCTCGAAGTCCGCCTTGTTTTTCAGCAGCCTTGATTCGTATTTGGTTAGTATGAAGACAGGAGCATCTTCGATGTTGATTTATGAGATGCACTGAGTTTCTGTTACCGAATCCCAGATCATCAAGAGCTTGCACTATCAGGAAATGTCTGGACACTTGTTCTCTGTCCCAATTCGGACCTCCTGCTATTTTCAGTATTTTCACTGTGATAATGCCTGATGTTGGGTGCAATTTCAGCCTGAGAAAGGCGCGATATGGATATGGAAGAATCAATTCAGAAGTGTGAGTGAAACACCATACGCAAAAAGCTGTAGTCTATCTAAACGACTCATGCACTATTGGGGAGTAATTATTGAGGTATAGGGTTCTGAAATTTGTCGGAGGAAGAGAAAGTCCAAAGATAAAGTCAATTACGTGAGATGCGGGGGTGCTTCCATAAAAAATGCGACAAAATTTCATTTTTCCGAACTGAAAATTTTCCAGGAAAAATTTGAATAGTTAGTAAATTGGGCGTCCTGATTCCAAATCTGAAGTGATTTTCGACCTATTTTGACTCCTAATATCATTTTCCGGAAATTGGGGTAGTTTCATGGCTGTTGGCGAGCAGTGTATATCACTGAAGATGACCCCACTTGGTCATAGAGTGCATTTTTGGTATATCTCTCGCTCCAGCAAATCTCAGGATCCTTACCCAACGATTACGTAAGATACAGGGGTGGTTCCATTAGAAGTGGGTCACACATGTCCAAACGAAAGTAAAAATATTGTAGTACATCGAACTGCTCCTGTGGCAATCACTATCCTGGGCAAAATGAATAAAAATTGCACTTTCCTGTGCGGAAATCTGCACTCGATTTCGCGATTTGTTAACTAGATGAGAATTATGTCATCCGATAACAATTGAATGGTAGATTTCAAAAACCTTCCTATGCCACCCCTCAGTCTGAGCCAAATCCACGGCACAACGATTTATCTGCCCCGATTATTCCGGACATACTTCCGTCATGTGATAACTGAGTGATAACGAGTTGAAACAAAAAGCAAATGAAAGGGAAACATGTCCGTTTTACGAATATTCAAACGTGCCACGATTCAAACTGATCTAAGTTAGTGGCAGAGCTTCATATTTCCGTGAATATTTCGCCCTCGTCGAAAGATAATATCCGATGGACCAGTGTGAAACTCATGTGGTGCACACACCACAAGTATTGTTATCCACATGTGAAGTTTTGAACTGGTCTAACTGATATTTTATCTTTAGAGGGTGACGAAATATTGTCGGAATGAGTATTGACACTCTGCCACTAACTTAGATCAGTTTGAATCGCGGCACGTTTGAATATTCGCATAGGCAACATCATCCCTTCTTATTTGCTTCTTGTTCCAACTCGTTATCACATGACGGAAGTATGTCCGGAATAATAGCGGAAAAAAATTGCAGTGCCGTGGATTTGGCTCAGACTGAAGGTGGCCTCGGTGGGTTCTCGAAATCTACAATTTGATTAGTATTTAATGGCATTATTTTCACCTCGTTATCAAATCGCGAAATCGAGTGCAAATTTCCGCACAGGAAAGTGCAATTTTTCAATCATTTTGCTCAGTATAGTGATTGGCACAGGTGGCGTTCGATGAACTACATTGGTTTTACATGCCTTTGGCACATACAGTGTGTCTCAGCTAAAGCTTGTCACCCCATAAACATCCGATGTCGTTGAAAAATTTGAAAATTGATCGAACAGGTCGATTTTAATTTGGCGGGGAACACATTTTTCTGCAATCATCATATTCCAAAGTTGAAACCTTGAAGCGTAACGGGCATCAACTTTCGATTTCCAAAAGGAACGCCCTGTATTTCATTGAATTTTTAGATTATTCCTGAAGAGCCGTTTTCATCAATGTATCACACTTGGTATCTAGCGGGAATATATAAGGTGTTCAAATTCGAAATTGTTTACCTTTAGGATTTATTTGTGTCGAAACTATTCATCAGTCAAAACGGCTTTCATGTCCCTATCTTAACTTCTGGTTCAAGATTCAGAATTCTGATCACACTATTCCAATTGAATCTCAGTAGATAGTAAATCGAAAGTTAGGATAAGGACATGGAAGCCGTTCTAACCGATAATGAATAGTTTGGACACAAAAAAATCCTAAAGTTGAAAAATCTCGATTTTGAACACCCTATATCTCTGTAATCATTCCCGCTAGACACCAAGTGTGATATCGATGAAAGCAGCTCTTCAGAGATAATCTAAGAATGCAATGAAATACAGGGTGTTCCGTTTGAGAATCGAAAGTCAAGGTCTCAGCTTTGGAATATGATAATTGCAGAAAAATGTTTCTCTCGCCAAATTGAAATCGATCTGCCCGAGCGATTTTCAATTTTTTTTTACTACATCGGAGATTAGGGGGGTGACAAGTTCTAGTTGGGACACACTGTATATCATTTCGTTATCAGATGACGGTCGATATTTGCAGCCGGCTCTTGGATTATGATATTTTATATGTACAGTCATCTTCAGAAAACATGTCGCACATGGGCGATGATAGCATTCTCAATAACTCCTGCAATAAGAGCGCTGACACCGTCCATCCGCGACATGATCTCTGAAGACGACAGTACAATAGTGTTACCTGATGACTTCCGTTGGAGCGAAACAAAGTTGGGACACCCTGTATTTCGACCCTCCCCAATATTATAGGGTAGTTGTAGAAACAAGTCAACAAAATTATTAGGTTCATTCTATTTCAATTGAATACTTAATAATTGAAAAACAATACTCCCCATACATCACGTTGTATAAAAATATAAATGACAGTATTTAATAAATGACGTTTTCAATATCCAAGAAACAAGTTGACAAAACAAATCCTTAATACCCTTCTGAAGGGCATATTTTATGTTTATTGAAAGAACCATTATCCTTTTTTCAAGTTTTACTGATTCTAGAAATATTTTATATTATTGGTACTTGGTCACCATGTTTATTTGTATCGTCCTGAAAATCTTCAAACTACTCTTGATACTCTGTTATTTACGTCCGATTAATGGAATGTTTCATAAAAAAAGTTGGGACTGTTTATCGTATC